ATAAAGGTTTATCCAGCTTTCTATAGGGACTGGTGCCAGGAGGATATGGCCAGCTCATCTCCCACTATATAAGTTCAAATTTATATATGCCGTCCAAACCCCACAAGCGTATGATTATAAGTCTGGTCCTGATTGATCGAGTCATACACGAACAGAAATATTGAAACAACTCTTTTTGGGGGTTGAGTGATTTATATATGTCATTTTTAATGAATACCAAGCCTGTCATTCAAACATTTTTAATGATAGAGAGAATGGAAGGGCTGTAAAGTCCTAGTCGACTGGTCGAAGCCAAAGTTCTGATTCTTCGACTCAATTTTTTTCCACGTCAATTTACAGTCTATGGTTAATTTCATCAGGAGGAACGTACCAAGTGCTTATGGGCGTGGTTTCAGAACACCCCCCCTGCTTTCACCATTTTGGATTCCCAACCCACTGGAGACCGGCTGGAGACAGGAAGATTGAAGTCAGCGTCTGCGTTAATCAATGTACGGAGGTTTGCGGAATATTTATATTTAAGCCTTTTGTGTTTAGTTGCCTTTTGTGCTGATATCAGTATATTCTCACCCCACTGAGCCACGTCGTCCCCTGCTGTAGAAGGGTTTGCCATCTGAGTCGGAACCCCTTCCCCAATTAGTCGATTTTTGGTTGAAAATTTCAGGGTTTTAGTCGAACAAGAATTTCTTTGGTTGATTACAGCCCTAGCATGCAGACCATGTCTGAAGGTTTTTTTTTTTTTTTTCTGCTGGTGACTTAAAGTTTAAAAACATATAAATAGCTTACATGTTGCCTCACAGGGAACTTCCCAGGATGTCTCCTGTGTCTTGGACTTCCACCAAAATCAGCTTTCATTCACACTTTCTGCACAAACTGTATTTTTTTTTAAGAGTCCACACACTCACCCAGTTCAAGTCAAAAGCAGAACATAAAGGGGAAGTCACACTCATCAAAATCACCTCAAACGATACAAAGGTTTACCTCACTCAGCCACAAAACACAGGCGTATTTCTGCGTTTCCATATTTTCAGCTTTGGAGGCCCCCCGGCAGCCTCCTCCACCTTCAACCACAACCAAGATAAATGATACCAATTTCATAAACAGCATCTTCGTCTGCTCTCACTCCAGCCACGTGTGTCTGCACACATGCTCTCAAGTGCACACACCAGTGGAATTGGGAAAGGCATGCCTGTGCAACATAGAAAACACACACACACACATACAAAGGCAGGCTGACAGGTTTTGATCAATAGTGTTGGGAGAAATGTAGCTTTTCCTCTGCAGCGACCACACATGCGCTGCTCCAGGCTGGGTAATTGGTGCACAATACCATGATAGCTTCCACTGCAAGGAACAATATTGATAACGTTTTACCACATGTGGTGTATGCCGTGTGTGTGTGAGTGTGAGTGTGTGCTTAAGTGTAGTTTTCCAGGGAATACACTACACCTTGCTTGTTGTTCAGCACAATGCCTCTTTCTTCCCTCTCTCTAGTGATACTTTACCTGTCCATCCGTCTGTCTTCTGTCTGTGCCTCTTTCTGTCCTTGTTTCCATTTTCCTTTCAGTCTCTGAACTGTGCCTCGATCCAAATCAAACACCAGACTGAATTGCCTAATAGTATGACACAGGCTGGACCACCTTTGTGCTACAAAAGAAGCACAGAGTCCGCCTACCACACAGACAGGCTACCATAGACAGCAACTTTTAGTAAGACTCACAGATTACATTGACCTCATAGATTCATGACCTCTTAGATAAATCAGGGACGCTGTTCAATAGTAAACATCGAAATAATTGAAAATGTAGGAAAACTCTTCCAAGAGCAGCAAAGAAACGAGACTGAGGCTGATTTTCCATTACAGCATGAGTGCATTTCTGCTTTACAGTCAGTCAGTTAATTTGCATCTGTGTAGTGCCAAATTATATTGAAAGTAAAGTCAGAACACTTTCACGTAAAGTAGGATCTTGTGTGTAAGGTCGAACATTTATTTTAAAAGAGGCAGTAAAATCAGGCAGAACGGCTCATGGATCAAAACCCCCATAAAAGTGATGAAAGGAAGACAGAAAAGTAAGATAGATAGAAAGACAAAAAATACAGCAGGGAGTGAGTAAAAATTAAATCTTATATCAGTTATTGATTGTTACACAGCTGTGTTAAATACTCGGTTCTGATTGGACAAAACTCCAGGACAGCTGTGAATAGTTCTGAATGGAAATGCCAGAGAATACCCGATCAAACACATCCTATCAAATCAATCTGCTAATAGGAGTCCAGGAAAACATCTCTCCACTGCCTGTTGACACTGTGGCAAAAGGGTTTTGATAGTATTCTGAATGGCTGTGTAATAGGGATGGGCGATATGGGCGAAATTATCACAATTACATTTTCTATTCTGGCAATAGTGATGAAAATCCCGATAAAAAATATTATAAATCCAATCTATATGTTTGACTCATTTTGATCCTCTGTCCGATGTTAGTCATGATCCTTGCACTCATCTAAGCCCCAGTCTTGAAGGAGTCCCTCATGTGGAGCCTCGTTCAGTAACAAGCTGCTCAGAAACGTCCTCTTCATTACCTTTTGCCATCTTTGTTTGTTATTCTGCTCTGTGTGGGCTATGGCTGCAAGTCCGTCGCTCATGCTTACATCATCAACTTGCATTTATTGTATTTATCATGAGATGACAAATATTTATCATGGAGGATTTTTCTGACGATTTATCGCCCATCCCTACTGTGCAACCTCTAGCAAATACATGCTAATTGGATTATCATTTAAGACCAGGTTAATACCTAAAGGACAATTAAATGAAGTGTTTTCCCCAATTACTCATAAAAGAAAAGAAGTTTTGATTGGTGAGGTACTGGGCTCAACTATCTCAGACAGGGGAGGTCAATCCAGGCAACAGCAGCTAGTGAGTGCATCTTTGAGTTCATGGTCCATGGCAAGCCTAGACTCCTATCCTTAGTTTAATCAAAAGTGAAAGTTTTAGGTAAAGACACTGTTTTGGAAGTGAAGATCTGATTCTACCTCACCATTTAAAGCTGTAGAGGAGTAGAAGGATTTCAGATTCATAGTTTTGTGAAATATCATCCTCCTTTTTTTGACAGCATTCTGGAGCAGCTGAAAAGTCTCGGTGTTAGCGCTGTTACCATGGTTCCTATACGTGAGGTTATACCAGGGGTCGGCAACCCGCGGCTCTGGAGCCGCATGCGGCTCTTTCGTCCCTAAGCTGCGGCTCCCAGTGGATTTGGAAAATAAATAATAAATACTTAATTGCATTTTATTTTATTTTATTATTATTATTATTATTATTTGTAATTCTAAATTCAAAGATTATAATGCTCTTGTAACATTAAATAAACTATTAAGGCTGCAACAACGAATCGATTAAGTAGATTCGTCGTGACGAAAAAATCAGTTGCCAACAAATTCTGTAATCGATTCGTCGGGTCTTTATATATGTTCATGGACACCGGCGTGTAAACATCAGCAGGACGCACAGAAAAGAAACAGCCATGGCCGAGGCAGCGGCTGAGAAAAACATGGACACAACCCAACCCAAATCCCGACCTAAAACATCAGTGGTGTGGGAAAACTCCACCAAGACTGAAAAGGAAGGCGTTCAGTGCAACATTTGCAAAGACCGTTTTGCATGGCTCGGGAGTACATCGATGATGCGTGAGCACAGGGCTCTCAAGTCTCCCACTCGTTCACACGCTCACACACCACACATTGTATTTCTCACGCATTTAAATGGACACGGTGATGTCCACCAAGTTGCACTTCTTCAACTATGGAACTGGGGGAAATCAACTGAGTTCCTCCGAGAGTTCAGAAGCTGCGTGCCACGCACAAGCCAATCAAATAAAGTATATCTACTGAACAGCCAATCAAAAAGCAGCATTGCTGTATCCGGGTAGATTTTGATATCTTGCGGTTTAACTACAGAAGAAGACAGACACTCGCCGAAATAGTTCATTTATTTCATAAATGCAACTCGCTTCAGTTTTTTATATACTTTGTATAAAGGTTAAAAAAAAGATATATGCAATGTTATCTTCATTTTAGATGTCAAAGAGGTTTTGCGGCTCCCTGTGTTTTCTTTTCTGTGGGAAACTGGTCCAAGTGGCTCTTTGAGTGTTTAAGGTTGCCGACCCCTGGGTTAGACCATTATAGCGTTACTTTTCACACACCCTTTATGACCTCAGATAACTGTCTTTGACAATCGCTCTCAACAAGAGATCCATGAAAACTTTTAGGCACTCATCGTTTTCTATCATATTGGTCATTGACGCCTCCCTCAGTCTGTCCCTGTTTCTTCCTGTAATCTCGTTTTTACTCCAGGAGTTTTTGTCCACATTTCAAACATGCTCATGTTGATTGGATGTTTTTTCTAACATTTTTATCTGAGGGTCTTTGAGTTCAGAGAGATTCTGTATCACATCTGTTCGATGAGGGGCATTTCATGAGCAGAGTCAAAGCATAAATCATCGTAAATAATGTTCATTTTATTGATTCATTGTGAACACAGAGTTCCTCGAACAAAACACACTTTTTCTTCAGAACACGATGTCCCTTTTCTTGTCGCACTCCATCTGCCTGTGTGTTTCTGCCTCCTCTGTTACCCCCCATCTCTCCTCTGTTTGTGAGCTGACCCCTCTGGTAGGTTTATCTGTCAAGAGGATGCCAAATACCAGCAGTTGCCAACAGGCACAGTCACTGCTAAATATACACCTGCGTGAGAGAAGGATCTGATTGAACTCATATGTTGTACATGTGGGTGCACGTGTGAGATTTGTGCACATGTGAAGTCCATGTCGACTTCAATGCAGTGTGACTGTGTACCTAATTAGGCACACACGCTCCAACTTTGCGGGTGCCGTATTCTTCCACACCTGTATGCAAAGGACTATTTTCTACCTCTCTCATCACCCTCGCTGTTTGTGTAATTTTCACAAGGAAGCGGGAACAGCCCTCTTCTCCTCTTTTCTCTGAAGCCCAGATGTTGGATATGGGTATGCTGGTAACACAGAGTGGCTTGGCATTAGGATGCTGCAGACACAAAGAGAAGAGAAGGGTAAGAAAGATAGAGGTGAATCCAGGAGACGATCGAGGAGCTAAAGGCAAGCGACAGGTGAGGAGAGAAGCAGGAGAGGGAAAGAGAAAGTAAGGGGAGCGAAAGAGAAGGAAGACAAGTGCAGACAAGAGGGCAATGGGTACGCCGTGTCCTTAAACAGCCTCAGAGGAAGAAGAGGGAGAGGCAGGGATGAGAGAGAGGAGGATGAGCAGTGCGGCGTGGCTGAGAAAGAGGTTAGTAAACCAGTCGAAATTGGATAACGCTCTCTCTCTACGTCGCCACAGTTTCACATTACGAGAGCTCAGTGAATGAAAATAAGAGATTAACCGAGATATGGGCCAGGACAGATGGGGATGATTTAATCTTCAGTGTGTGTCTGTGTGCGGGTACATGTGTGTCTGTGCAAATCCAGCACATATGATGGTTTTAGTGGAGTAGACATACATAAAGTGTTCTTATGGTGTTCCAAACATATGACCAAGCTCATGAGCCAATTAGGAAATCCTTGATTAGGTTCAGTTTGGCAGGCGGGGTGGATTCAGAGGCGGCCAATCAAAAGGCAAAAGTAGCTGGAAATGTTTTCAGCAAATGTATGCTTCAAACATTTCTGCAGTTTGTGCTGCAGTGTCACCCTGACTCTCGTTTGTCTCTTTGTTGATTTTTCCGAACAATTTGTCCTCGTACGAAAATGTCACGCTACCCTGTCAGCTCTGACTCTCTCCCCTCCCCTCCCCTCTCCTCCCCTTCCTGCCACCCACCATCTCTCTCTCTTTCTCTCTACTTATATTGGTAACATACTGAGTTTCCTCCCTCCGCTCTTTTCACATCTAATCATCTTCTCTTTTTCTCTCTTTACGTTTTTTTTTTCCCTCACCCCTCCTCACCCTGTGAGTCTGAGACCCAGTAATAAAGCCACAGAACACCGTGTTCAACCTCTTACACTGAGAATATATTGATTGAGAAAGTACAGACTGCTCCACATAGTCCTTCAGGTGCCACAGGTGTCAATCATGAGGTGAAGTGAGGAAAATATTCACAGACAAGCGGCTGTCTGTTCAGTTCATTATATTGCTTTCTCCTTTAACTCGTCTGATTTCCATTGTGTGTTACAGGTCCTCACATTCCGGTCACTCCCATCCCCCTCTTCATCTTTTTGTCTCACCTGTATTTCACTACCTGAAAGCAGGGCATACAAGCAGCTGTTAAACAGGTTCAAACCTTGAATGTAGGACACAGTTTCTTTGAAGTTTCCTCACATGAACATCCAAACACCCTCACAATAAATACGGCAAACTGGTTACCTGTCCCTTCCACCGCCACCGGGGTCCAATGACTCTTTATTGTGTTCCTTTGAGCCACTCAAAGGAGTCAACTGTTCACCAGCTAGTCTCGCCTACCTTGGTGTGACAGGTCAACAGGTGGTGCATATAAGATTTCACTTTAATCAACTTTAAGCCATTACAGCGCAGACAGAAAAACAGTAGTAATCCATCTTGCACTTGAAAATGCTGGAAACAGAAGCTGCAGAGTTTTGTCTTAACTCAGTTTAGAGTTCTAGTTCTGCTCAAGCTTGGTGACAAATGCAGAGAGTCAGCAATCTGGTCTCCAGTTTCCCTCTGTTGGTGCTTACTACAAACTCAGAAGATGAGTGCTGGTTATTTAAGAAAGAAATACAATGTCTGAGAAACAAAGTCAAAGGTCCTGATGGCACAAATGAACTCTCCTGTGTGCTGTTATGCTCTGCTTCAAGCATATAGTGGGTTAAACTCAATGAGAATAAGAATAACAAGAACTTTATTGATCCCTGAAGGGAAATTCAATTGTCTGTTGTCTCACGTAATATGTCTGTAAAAGTTATCTATTATTTACTTAGGAGTTATAAAGCCTGATGGCTGTTGGTACAAAAGATCTTCTGAATCTTCTGTCCTGCAGCGAAGAGAGAGGAGTCGTCCACCACCATTGGCCCTTTGGTCCATCAAGGTGTTGTGAAGTGGGTGATCCATGTTCTTTAGAATAGTCTCCACTTTCCTCAGTGTAGATCTCTCCACCACATCCTCCACTGAGTCCAGCTTGAGTCCAACCACAGAGCCAGCCTTTTTCACCAGTTTGTTCAGACGTCTTCCATCTTTGTGTTTGATACTTCCTCCCCAGCAGACTGCAGCGTAGAACAGAACACTGTAGACAACACAGACTGATAAAACATCTGCAGCATCTTACTACAGATGTCTATTGATCGGAGTCTTCTCAGGCAAAAGAGGCGGCTCTGCCCCTTTCTGTAGATGAAGTCTATATTCTTAGACCAGTCCAACTTATTATCCAGATGTACACCAAGATAACTTTACAATGTCACCACTTAGATGTCCACTCCACAGGTGTTCTCTGGCTGAAGAGGGGGTTTGGATCTACGGAAGTCTATGACCATCTCTTTTGTCTTTGAGGTGTTGAGGAGGAGGCAGTTTTTGTGACTCCAGTCACTGAAGGCTCTGATCAGATCTCTGTATTCAGCTTCTTGTCCATTTCTGATACATGCCACAATAGCAATGTCATCTGAGTTTTTCTGGATGTGGCAGGACTCAGTACTGTATTTGAAGTCTGACGTATACAGTGTGAACAGGAATGGCACCAGCATTGTCCCCTGTGGAGCCCCTGTACTGCTCATTAATGTCCCAGAAACGCAGTTTCCCAGCCTGACAAACTGTTGCCTTCCTGTCAGGGAATCTGTGATTCAGGAAACACAGGAAGGATCCACTTCCATCTCTGTAAGCTTGTCTTTGAGTATGGTGGGTTGGATGGTGTTGAATGCACTTGAAAAGTCGAAGACCATGATCCTCACATAAACCCCAGGTTCCTCCAGATGAGACAGGGCACGGTGAAGCATGTAGAGGACAGCATCATCCACTCCAATGTGTTCTTTGTATGCAAACTGCAGGGAGTCCAGTTTGTCTTTCAATCTCATTTAACATGAACTATAGCAAAGATGCATCCATCCACACCAGGTAACAACTGGTGTCCTTGTGTTTACGACAGGAAATAGTCCAAAATATTTGGCGAGTTTTCTCTGAGCTACTGCTACATTTACCACTCGGCAGCAGCCCCTACAACTCTAAGCACTATGACAGATCAATACATTAAACAGTGATGGTCTTATCCACAGAATACAGTAAAATACTCTTAAGATTGTTTTCATGGAGCTATGAGAAAACACTGCAGGTGGTATTTTCAAGTTGTGTGTCATTTATAGATTATTATGAGCAGAGATGGACAGAGTACTTGACCCAAGTACTTGAGTAAGAGTACAAATACTCCTGGTCAAAATTTACTCCGCTACAAGTAAGAGTAGCCCAGTCAATACGTTACTCAAGTAAGAGTAAAAACGTACTTGCTTTTAAATGTTCTTAAGTATTCAAGAGTAAATGCTTTTAAATGCACTTAAAGTAAAAGTAAGAGTAGATTCCTATTTTTTCACATGAATTACTGTCATTTTACAATTTTATTTACAGTACCTTGTAACTCTTGTTTCAGAGAATTAACTCTTTGAAACCACCTGCACTGATGTGTTTGCCTGTAGAACCATTATGTGATACTGTACCGAGCCTGCACCAACATCTATAAAAATGGAAATAAAATGAATGGGATCATCAAAGAGGACAATAATGTCATTTTCACATTTTATTAAACAACCCCCGCTTCACACACACACACACACACACATTGTACTTTTTCTTGTCTGTGTCCGTGTTTTTCTTATTTACTCCTGCAAACTCGAACATAGCCTTCAGATAAGGTCATGGGTTTTCTTCAGCTTCCTCCGCCTCATTCAACTCCGGCTCATCATGTTCAGACTCAGAGCCTGAGGATTCATCGTAGCATTCTTCTCCTGCCACCGCCATTGCCACCGCGGGCTTGTTTTGAGCTGATAAACACGAGAGCGCATATTTCAGCTTTTACGTACATCCCAGTGGAGAACTTGTACTGTGATAGGTTTCCTTCTTTGATGAACGCTGCATGTGGCCAATTGCGTTTTAGGGAAGGAAAAAAAAACAGCGAACCTAAAAGTAACGAGTACTCATGAGCCTTCTTAGAGATTTACTCAGGTAAGAGCAAAAATGTTTACCTTGGAAATGTATTCGAGTAAGAGTAATAAGTATCAAAGAATTCTAGTATTTGAGTAAAGTACAAATCCTCAGAATCTGTACTTAAGTACAGTACTCAAGTAAATTTACTCCGTTACTGTCCACCACTGATTATGAGTAATTTTTGAATATGTGATTGTGTTCATCCAATTTACAAGCGATTAGTGGATCATAGCCACCTAAGAACATAAATATAAGGGAAAAAAAATCAAAAATCCACCTTTTCCACCACACAACTGATCTGAAACAGTAAATGTCTCTTTTCACTACTTACATGCCTTGGCCTGTGTGTCTCTTTTACTTCTTGCTTTTGAGACCAAGAAACAGGAACGATTAAGGCAGGGAAGTAGTTACATTGGTTACGTCTGTTTCTGGCAGGTCTTGAAGACATCTCGTAAAGTATGACATGTTTTACAGTGATGTGAAAGAGCGCAGGAAGTGCACCTGAAACTAGGTTGCTGACTCTTTTTCAGAAGTTCGTCACCACACTTCGTGAATTACATTGTCATTCTGATTTGACTATAGCAACATGGTGATAATACATGTGATAATGATTGTCTTGTTAGGCTATTTTAAGCTAACCGTCTGACGTGTGTTTTCCTCATGTGTATTAGCTGTACTATCGTAACTAGTTTAACTAGATTTCTCAGAAGCCTGGGGGTGGTGTGTTACTCCTAGGAGCTTTGCTGTTTAAACTTACTTCTCAGTAGCTTTGCTCAAAAACTTTATTGTTTTTGGTGTAGCTGTTTTATGCCAACCAGGCTAACCTTCACCATTTATCAAAAATGATCCTGGACCCACATCAGTTGCAAAACAAAGGCCGAAGTAAAGCTGGACTTGAGTCACCTAAAATCATAGAAATGGCGGCAGAGTTCTGCAGAAGGAAACAAAAGCAGAGCCCAGACAGACAAAGTCAAACAGCTGCGGCAGACATCAAAAGCTCGCTCGGTCTGCCTCACG